GGAAACTACTCACAAGCTCGGCTTCGAATCTGTCTTTCATTTATGGATTAGATGCGCAACACCATCACCCCGACACACAAACTGGTATCTTGCACGCTTCACTAGTGGAACCACTACCTGTAAACAACTTTCTGCCTGCTCATCTCAGTTCGTCACGCGGAAACATGTCCAGTCCCGTCATTGCTGGTGGCATCCGCACATATCTCTCGGACCAAGATCTATCCTCCCAGAAATGTTCCCATAACCGGAGCGCAAGTGACCCACCCTCGGCTCACAGAAAGATACGGTTATCGGTAAGTCCAACGTGCTGGATCAGTGTGGACTTAATGCAAACGAAAACAGGAGTTCCATAGAGAATTTTTTGAGGCGCCGCGGTTGCTGAAATGTCTTTAGTCACCTTTACTTTTGGATCCATAATCAGAGACAGCGACAAATAAGGCTAGTGGATACGCAGTGCTAGTACTATGCCACAGTTCCTAAATTTCTCGTAATTGCTTATGCTTTGTGGATAAGTGTTTGGTTGCTGACATCTCACTCGTTAATTGCCGAAATCAAATCGCCTGCCTTGCCACTCGTATGCCCTCCACGCTACTAATTACTTTTCCTAAGCAAGTTAGGTCGAGCGGACTCCTTTGATCATTTGTATATTTACGGCAATGATCGCTTAAACTACCCGTCACTCATACCATTCCCACACATATAAGCGTCATAACAACCTTTTCGGTCAACTTAAAGTTTGTCCGTAGGTTTCGATGAAGCCCACTATCTGCACCACAGCAAACGTGACACTAGGACGGTGACTTCTGCGTGAAGTAGATCGTAGTGCGAACGGACTTGCGCTGCATCTACCCCACACTCATCCGTCACATGGGCTCGGTTTCATGACCAAGTCAAGATAATCAGAGGCGGAAAAGGCATAAGTGGCCGAAGCCACCCCTAAGCCTGCCGCCACACTGGCTTTGATCCCACAGAGTAGGAATGCCATAAAGGCTGCATTAAGGAGCCATTGCAGCCCGACTCAGTCTGCCAGTCAGTCATTCTTCACAAACACACACTGTGCTGACTGCGCCGTCCAAGGTTTGCCGTTAGTTTACAGCCTTCTAAACCACGGCTTTTAGCTCGCCTTAATATCTTCAAACGCGTTATATGGTTTATAGTAAGAGGCATAGGCCGAACCGTTGTTCGCGTTCTCTATTTCTGTTCCCAGGTCTCAGTCTCTGTCCGA